TTAGTTCGGTTCGTTCGTCGTCTACTCGTCGTCGTTTCGTTCTCTCCTTCGTACGTAGTAACGACGTACGTCGTCGACTAATAACGTACTCTCTCTCTCTCTCTCTCTCTCTCTCTCTCTCTCTCTCTCTCCACCCCCCCACCCTTCCCAGCAAACACCTTTATTTCTTTTGCCAAGTGTGTAAGAAAATAATTTAACATAGGTCTGCATACACTATTCTCAACATGGTGTAAGAGTCTGAGGGACTAGAACTCCAAGAGTCTGAAAGCCTTGTTTCTTGAATTGTCTTTACAGAATATCCCTGGTTAAAAGCCGAGTCCACTTTGTGAGATCAGGCCAACAGTCACTCATGGCTCCCCTTTTCATATCCATTCCCCATAGGGGAGTCATGGCTCCATTTGCATCAGCAAAGCCACAACAACAAAAATATACTACCTCTGTTCCAGGGTCCATTTTCCCTTTATTTTTTGGATTGTTTTCAAGGTAGAGCAGGAGAAAATTATGGGTTCTGCATTCTCAACCAACTTTTGAGGTAGTTCTCAAACCTTTGTTTACTTCCATTGTCTCGAAATTATCCAATACATGTCTTTGTCCTGATTCATTTCTCTGAAAACACAACCTTTTGTACTTGTTCATGCTAGACGAATTTTTGTTCATGTCGTATTCAGCCAGAAGAACTACCAAAGTTAGATCTTTCAGCTTGGTGTTATAGTGAAGCATAAATACTTGAAGACTCCACAAAGCATGATATAAGCCAAGTATAGAGTCATACTTTATGCTACATTTAGCCACACAAAGGTTGGAAGTTGGATAAATCCATGACATCGTGTCTACAACTACCTTACAAATTGACAAATTGGATTCGCAATACATGATGGATGCCAAGAAATTCATGATAATGTTCAGCAGAGTGATTGAAAACTCAGCCTGAGTTACTCAGACTCGGTTCCTTGCTGCACCGAGTGCTCTGGTGCAACTTGGGCCATTAAAAAATCAAATCAAAAAAATTATATAAAAATGTGGAACAAATGCATAAGAATAACATATGTAATTGGATACTTCTTAGAATGATTTGAGAGTTTTTCTTCTCATATGCCCTATTTTTATATTTTTCTCTTTTTCTGGATTTTTCTGAAATGTCTCCAACCATAAGTCGAGTTTTTCTCAACTCATGTTTTATATAAGGAAAATTGTTTCATGCGGGCTGGACCGCATTTCTACATATGCGGTTCAAAAGTATAAAGCATCCATCTTAAAGATGGATGCAAATATGCGGTCCATCTAAAAACAATTGAAACTAACGGTCCAAATGTTTTCTTAATAGAATTATTATTTCTAGTTTTTAAAATTTATTTATTTTTTCATATTCATGATCTCCATCTTAGAGATTACATATCCTTAAAAATTAAGTCCAAAAATCCATCTCAAAAATAAACTTATTAAGGGGCCTGCAGTTCTACATGTGTGGGCTTGGCCTACATGCTAACCGCATCCCTTATATAATCTTTTAGCTTTTTGGGACTTTTTATGTTATCTTTGGTTTTGTTTCACTTTTATAATTTTTATCCCATTTTTAAACAATTCTTTTGAATTTATTTTTAGGGCCTTTTGGGCCGCCTTGTACACTACTTGGCTGAGCCTCCGCGGAATTGGCAGAGTTACTCGGCTTGGACCATGCTGAGTCTGAGGCCCAAGCCGTTTTTAAGAACATATTCAAAATTATGTTCTTGATTCAAAAATGAAAGTGTTTGAGGCATGAATGGCATCACGCCCAATGCATAACATGCTTAATTATCTAAGAGATTTATGAAATTACATAAAATGCCTTCTGTTTGTTAACATAGACTACTGCAAACAAACATATTCAAAATTCTCGACATTTCAACAGATATTAAAACATCAAAGTTCAAAATTTGCACCAAAACACAATGTAAACAACATATAAAGCCTAACTCCACAGAACCACACGAAATGTTGAAGAGAAAGGGGCCCTATATTGGATGTGAAAAGGGAATTCATGTCATAATCGACATACAAACATGCGTCAAGTGATAAATAACGACAAATGAAATGGGTAATTCAAAGATTCCAGGTTTCTATAACAGATGGATTTTTTTCAAATCACGCAAAAAAAATCTGATAACAGATGGATTTTTTTCAAATCATGCAAAAAAAATTATGATCAAATGCAAGAAATAGGCCAGAGAGAAAATTGAATCAAAGTTCAGCAAAGAAAAGGGAAACCTCTCGAATGTCTGAGGAATCGACGGTCCAAGGTCCATATACGCCTTGATAAACTTGGGCTCCAGTCTGTTGCGTATCGTCTCTCAGAGCTTCACATTTTACACCGCTAGAAACCCTAGATTTGTGGTCTGAATCAGTTTTTGCAGTGTAACCAGGAGAAAGCTTTCTTAATGGTTTAGAAAGCCTTTGCTGCTTATTCACTGCAATGGATGGAGGTTTTATAATGGAAACGATGCCCTTATTTGGTAGGAGAGAAAGGGGAACTGTTGCAGCCGAAGACGAGAAAGCCATGTTTTCAGTAGAGAGAGAGAGAGTGTGACGAGAGTCTCTGGAGTCGATGGGTGGTTACAATTTAGAGAGAAGACTCGCGGTCGAGGAGCGAGAGGCGGTGAGACAGATAGCGAATCATTCAGAGAAGGTCATTGGTTTTTATGAATCGGTCGATTCGTCAGCTCAACCGAGTCTAATTTATTTGTGAGAGATTTTAGATTCAAAATTTTAAAGGATGCATAATCCATTTAAAAACCGGATCGGTGATCGAGATTGGGTACGGCAAAAACTGGTACGGATTGGTGAATTGGTGGTCTCGATCGCCGGTTTATTGTGGAAAAATAGTTAATAGGCGAAAAAACATGTGCAAAGACGGTGAATGAGCCAAAAATGGATCCGGATAGGTGAATCAATTGTAGCAAAATAATATTTTTGCTGTAGCAATACGTTGTTTTACTGTAGCAAATCACTGGTTCTCTTTTAGACCTAGCCGATTTTCTATATATTGACATAATAGACATAGAGCGATCGATTCTCAGGTCAGATTGAACGATTCTGTACCGATCTGACGTTTTTAAATCATCGATCCCAACAATGATAAGCAATAACTTACAAAAGAAAATTAAATTAAAAAGTACTTTTTTATACAATTCAAATAATGTTGATTTTGAAATTATACGGGTCTGTCATTTTTGTAACATCCATCGTTGTAGAAGTGTGTAAGGAGACACATTGAATTATGAAAAAATTAAAATTTCAAGTTCTAAAAATGGTGACCCTATGTCTAAAAAAATTTGTACCATATTTTGATCCATAAATTTCATGACTAAGTGGTGGAAGTATATTTTTTATGCCCGTCCGAGATGAGGGTGTATTTTTTTTTGTTGTGGTTAGGCCAATACCTTTTTAAATGGTAAAGCGTTGGTGGTTAGCTGAATGTGCATCCCTCCTTTAAAATCCATTTGGAAGCTGGATTTTAGATAAAAATAATTTGGAATTTGTTAACCTAAACTATTACAATGATTGTAAATTTGAAAAATTTTCCTTTGAAAAAATAAAAAATTGTATCTTTGAATATTTGTTTTCCACCATCCATTTTGATATATGGTGGGAGCACCATTTTTTTGATGTCACCTCTAAAATGGACGTCTTATCTATGAGAGGAGGCACATGTGTTGGTGAGTTGGCGGACTCACCAAAATTGTGTATTTTTCTAATTTTTGTTATACAATATATATATATATATTTATATATTTTTATTTTTATTTTTTTCATGTGACCTTCAAAGTTCAAAATGACTAATTTATATCTAAGTCACGAAAACATTTTTTTATTTCAATTCACTTTGGACCTTAAAGGCATTCAATTCATTTTAGATCTTGAAGGCAGTGAAGGTCTCAAGGCCAATGGTTTAAAAAACGGATCAATGCCCCGAACTGGGTATCCAAAAACTTATATGGATCGATGAATCGGCGTTTTGGATCGGGAATCGGTCGGATTCGGCCTTAAAAAAATCCAAAAAAAAATTAAAAATCTTTATAAATAATACTTTTTAAGAATCCAATAAAAAATTGGGTACTATATTAAGAAAAAACATATAAATGTTTTGCATCAATATATAAATATTGAGATGTTATTTTCCCGTATGAACTACTGTTAACCGTTAAATTTACATAGCACAAAAAAAAAACATAGAGTTATCATGGATGAAGTATATCATCGTACATGGACTACAACAAAACATACAATTAATAAAATACAACTTAAAAACAAAATGAAAAACGATGTTGTTCTTAATCTCTCGCTAACCCTATCCATGACCCTCTCTCTCCTCTCTCTCTCTCTCAAAAGCTCTCCCAATGTGCTGCGAAAATCCGGGCTTATTTCTCTCTCTAAAAATTGCATGAAATCAAGGCATGCTCTGGGTTTCATTCACAGTGGCTTTTTCTAAGAATGAGACTGAGACCTTGACCCAATGATTGGGCTTGAGGTTAATAAGGGCAGACTTAATAGAGTTTAAGGTGGGCATGAGTGATGCGAACTCTTTCTCATTTGAAATTTCTCTATTCAGTATGATGCTACTGATATTGAGAATGGAGGAATCTGATTCAATGGCTTTTAATCAAAGGAATTGCTAGGGTTTTTGAGTTCTACAGGTTGTTGATTTCTTCTCAAGGTACAAAAAGATCCAAGGTTATTGTACAGTTACACATCCCATATAGGATTTGGGGACTTGAAACAAGCACCTTGGCTTTCATGGCAAGTTTCTCATTATTTTTCAAGAGACAGAGAACGGTTCCTTTTAACTGATCTTCTTGCATCATACAAGAAAGCCACTCGAGATCTTGGTTATTTAAAATTTTAAAGAAAAAATGCCATTAAGTTTTAATCAATAATTACATTAAACACTTCAATATTCAAAGATGCCTCATTTTTTGGAAAATGATAAATCTAAATTAAGGAGACAATTAGAAGCAGGAGATGGAAAAAACAATCACATTCTTTCTTAATTTCCATAGAATCATCTCATTTTTTACTTTTCTCTCTCTTGAAACTTTCAAGTACTTTGTGGTCTATGGAAGAAGAGAGAGAGGTTCTACGCAGCTAAGCAACAGAATGTGAGACTGGTGAGCATGAAGAAGAGGAACTTAGCATCCAAATGACTGTTTCTTTTTCTCCTTGAAACAGAGTTTTGAGTTTTTGGAGTGAATTGCAGGAGACCCTATTGGTTTTTACATGTGCTACCAAGCAAATGAAATTATCAGATGAGTCTTAATACAACAGTAACCTAGCTGTTCTCAAGAATTTCTTTAACACACAGGTGGAATTAGATGCAGAGGGTAAGGCTTTTTTTGAGAGAATATTTGACTACATTAGTGTATTGCTGATGAATATCAATTTTACTGATGCAAAATACTAAACAACGTAATTATTAATAAATAACAATAAATGTCAACAATTCCCCACATTTACAAATAAACATGACTAAAATCAATAAAACTCTTGTTCCGATGAATATTATATTTATCATTTTCTAATAGATATCATAGTTTTAAATATCATAAATGTCCATTATTTTTCCTAAAATTATTAGTAGAATGCAGGGAAAACCAAATCACTGGAATCACAAAGAAACACCAGCTTAGAAATTCAATTTTTTTTTTTTTTTGCTAAAAAAGGGGAAGAACACGAGATCAAAAAATAAAATTGCTGTAAAATATCGTAAAATAAAATATAAAACAACAAATAATCATATCTGATTTTAATGAAATCTTGTTCTACCAAGATCATTCAGCAAAAAAAATGGATCAAATTGATGAAGAACAACTACAAAAATCAAGATTTTGTGGAAAACTCTAATCTGCTAAAAAAAACCTAAATTCTAGTCAAGAAATTCACAATTTGGAATTTTTTTGACATCAATCCAATCCCAACCAATGTTTTATAGACCTAAATAGTAATTCTCTTCCATTATTCATCAAAAAAGGACAAATTTTGATGAAGTTTTTGGTGGAAAAGGGAAAGAACATGAGCTCAAAAAACAAAATTCGTAAAATTAAAATATAAAACAACAAATGATCGTACTTGATTTTGATAAAAGCATGTTCTACCATGATCATTCAACAAAAAAAATGGATCAAATCGATACAGAACAGCCACATAAATCAACTTTTGGCATAAAACCCTAATCCGCTAAAAAATCCCCAAATTTCTTTACAAAAATTTGTTTCTTAGGTTCGATCATTGTTTTATAGACTTAAAAAGTTATTCTCTCCATTATTGATAAAAAAAATACTAGATTTTTATAGCTTTTTTGGTGAAAAAAATGGCTTTTTTTGTGAAAGCCATTGTAGCAGCCATGTCATCGTGTCAACTCGCCCGATTCACTGTAGTATATTGCTGACAACCGGTGATTCTTATTTAGACATGCCCGAATATCTGTATTACACTGGAATCGACACGGGGTATCCGATTCTCATATCAACTCAGGCAAGTCCATTTAAAACACTGCTCAAGACCATATGCTTTGGAGTTCAAACCTTGACGGACCTTTAAGGTCTAAGTGAATAGACTTTAGACCTTTAAGGTATAAGTGAATAGACTTTAGACCTTCAAGATCTAAAGTCATGATAAAAGAATTTTTCATGACTTTGGTCCATAATTAGCCTCTTCTCTTTTCTTTTCATTAGGGGTATTTTAAAAAAAAAATACAAAAAAAGAGAAAATTAGGGCATTAAATGTAAAAACAAAAATTCTGAGGAATTTTACAATAACGTTAAAAAAAAAGACATGACCATAAGCGTCTCTGTTTTCTCTAAGTCGAGGGGGCTAAATTTCAGACCTTCAAGATCTGGAATGGGGGCATTTTAGAAAAAAATTAAAAAAAAGGTTGGGACATAAAATATAAAAATAGAATAATTTTTACATAGATGGGTTTGTATGAGTCAACCAATTCATATTGTGCATATCCAGTCACTTACACATTCCCGACCACCTGATTTCATATTTAATGGTCAATAATAGTTGTGATCTCTTTATACTAAAAGTAAATAATTGTATGGTATATGTTTCCTTTTGTAGTAATGAATATTTATTGAGACATAAATGTAAATTTCTCTTAAAATTATCATTTTATTGGTTTTTCATTGATATGCCTTTTTGCTTTTTATTTTTTCAAAATTCTTCAATACCGAAAGTTAAAATAGAAGCTTAGCTTTGCATCTTGAATATCTAAGTTGACACTCGAATTCTTGGCAAAGCCAATGAACTCAAAAGAAATTGAGGAAGTATGGTCTTAAAGATTTTCAAAGACTAAAGTCAAGACTTGTTGAAATGACTTTGAATCTTAAATATTCGAAGTTATTTAGACAAAATTTAACTTTGACTAGTGAAGATCCAAAGTCGTAATAAAAAAAGTAAAAAACTATACACTCTACCGACAAAATTGTTGGAAAAAAAAATATATATATATGTAAAAAACTAAATTTCAAAAATAATTTTATAATAACGTTAAGGGACATGAGGTAAATATGTCGTAGTGGGGGATATTCTTGCAGTTTGTTAAGTGGAGCGATGAAAAGGCAATAGACTCTTAAAAAATGTAAGATCACCATCTAGCCTTTTTTCAATTAATCGGGGCCATCTACATAAATCATG